CATTCATTAATTCACCAGGGTTAGAAAATAGTGATATTCTATCATTCTCTTTTCATTTATTAGCTGGAAAACATCTCTAATAAGAAACTGCCTTTTCTACTATTTCACTTCCCAGCACTATGGTTCATACTGCAAAGGCAGGATAAATGCTTAATTCTTTACCTTTAATTGCCAGCTTTAGGAATAATAGTTTATTAGCATATTTCAGTGGTGACCAATCAGGGTTTTTTTCTTTTTCGGATCTTTGTAAATTCATGTACTTAAATATATTTGGTGTTCCAATTCACTGTAGTTATTATTGATATTTAAAGTCTCTCAACTTTGGCTAGTGGGAGTGTCCTCAAGTTGGCTCCTGAGTCCTCGATGCGACTCTAATGATCTCTGATGTCATACCAGATGACAGGGATGCTAAGTGTCATCTTGCACAGTTCCTGCATCTCATCCTTCGAATACTGACATACCTAAACAGCAGGGCTGACACCCCTAAAGCAGCCATCACGTTCAATCATGCAATGTAGTGCTGTCAGTGTTCTGGCAAACTGAAATTCTATTTGCATCAAAACCTTAATTTCCATGATCTTCCTTAATTCAAGATTAGGCATGTAAGGGCCAGCTATTTGGCAGTTTAGGTTTTCCAAAGCCTATTAATGAGTATTCTATTTTTTAAGGTCAATGTAACTTAAATTACATGTATAAACTATAAATTGATAAATGGCTTGATGTTTTAGGTTTTTAAAGTCCTTAAAGTAACTTAATAGTATTAGGTGGTCATGACTCTTCTTTGAAACACCAGTGATTCATTGTGTAATCAATTTGCTCAAAGGGGATAAAATACTTTTATGAAGATATGAAGCAACATATGAATCTATAAATAGCCTCAAGTTTCTAATTTGAGTACAATTATTTCTTCAACAAATAAAGTAGTTTATTTACAATGACAAATTCTTAACTTTAAAAATGTTATAAAAAGATATCCTTTTTGGGGGTCAATCAAGCACCAAAATTCACTGTTAATAAAGCACCTTAAATTTTAAGGACTTTAACAGAATGGCCATTGTCAAAATATCTATAGATAATAAATGCTTGAGAGGGTGTGGAGAAAAAGGAACCCTCCTATACTGTTGGTGGGAATGTAAGTTTGTGCACCAACTGTGGAAAACAATATGGAGGTTCCTTAAAAAACTAAAATAGACTTACCATATGATCCAGCAATTGCACTCCTGGGCATATAACTGGAGAACTCTAACTTAAAAAGATATATGCACCCCAATGTTCATAGCAGCACTGTTTACGATAGCCAAGACATGGAAGCAACCTAAATGTCTATCAACAGGTGACTGATAAAGATGTGGTATATACACACAAAGGAATACTTACTCAGCCATGACAAAGAATGAAATAATGCCACTTGCAGAAACATGGATGGATCTAGAGATTATCATACTAAGGGAAGTAAGTCAAAGACAAATTTCATATGGTATCACTTATGTGTGGAATCTAAAAAATGATACAAAAACTATTTACAAAGCAGAAATAAACTCACAGACATAGAAAACAAACTTACGGTTACCAAAGGGGAAGGGGGGAAGGGCTAAATTACGAGTCTGAGAGTAGCAGATACCAACTACTATATATAAAACAGATAAACAAGGTCCTGCTATATAGCACAGAGAACTATATTCAGTTTCTTGTAATGAACGACAGTGGAAAAGAATCTGAAAAAGAATACGTATTTATGTATAGTATAATTGAATCTCTTTCCTGCACGCCAGAAACTTAACACAACATTGTAAATCAACTATACATCAATTAAAAAATTTTTTTAATCGAAAAAATTCTAAGGACTTTAAAGATTTTCAATCTTATACCTAACGATAAGGAGTTTTATTAAACAAATCAAATTAAATGCTGGAAAGACTTTCCCTCACAAAATATGCAGAGTGGATTCTAATAATGTGAAAATAACTTGCAGCTGCAGTAAATTCATCAAGAATATTTCTTAATAGGAGGGACAGACTCTGCAATTAATGTTCTTCTGCAATTTTCATTAGTTCTGGGATGAGAAGGATAATCACAGGCAAATGCTTGACATTCCAAAAACACTTTCTGTAAGGGCATCCCACAGCTGAAACGTGAAACTGCATAAATCGCTATTTTTCTTTATTCTCAAGGGCAAATGTCTTTATTATTAATGTTTATTTCCTGATTGTGGTAAGAATAAGCATTTAATTTTCCAAAAACACACGAAAATCCCTAGAAATGGACCAGCACTCTTTAAAAACCTGCTACAGAAAGCTTAGCCAACAAAGACTAACAAGTTATTTTTACTCTTTGGTCACTTACCCTGTTATGACGCAGGCATCGCTTTAGCAGTTCTTCTGCCATGTCGTATTTTGCTGACTGAATATAAATATCAGCGAGTAGCAGCCAACTCCTCTCAAAGTCCTCAGCATCAATAGGATTCCAGTTCATCTTTGCAATCCGCTTCAGCTGGTTTCGGGCTCTAGGAGTTTGTTTCAAGATCATATAAGCTGTTGCCATTCCCAGGAGCGCTGGGATATGATCCTTCTGTACGAGAACAAGAGTTCAGACCCCCAGATACACAAACACAGATGTCCTTTGTTTAGAAGAAAAACACATGGGAAGTAGCAGGTGCCACACAATACAGGGACCGGCCTGCGGATTCTGCTTCTGGCTCCACACAGATGACCATGACACGGTCACTACCTAACACAGCAAGCCACTTCAAGCTTCCAGGAAGAAACTGGTCAGGTGTCATGTGGTCAGGGTAATTCAGTAAGTGTGCAGGTGCCTTGACCACACAATCCCAGACAATTAGGACAACTCGATCTTTAATGGGATTGACTGGCTGTTTTTGGTTTCGTACAGAAACACGAAAAATAAAATTCTATTTCAGTGTAATCCTAGTGGAACATTTGTGTTTCATATTTAGCATTCTGGCCCCGTAGTTTTCACTTATAAAACAGTACTAACAAACAATGATTTCCCATCAAATGATACTCCGTGTCTATACTGACTTCTACTTCTCTTTTCCCCCTCCCTTCTCATTTTATTCAAAAGCCTCTTTTCTCAATAAAGTTTAACCAGTAAAATGTTATAAATAAGGCATGCCATTAATCACTTGGAAATTATATGAAATAAACTCACGCTTTAAAATATGCTTTTAGATTTGAAGTCTGCAGATCCTTGATAGTATCTATGAAACATGATGTTCTTTTTTGACAGAGTTTAAAGTCAGAAAATGTCACTGTGCAACCAACAAGCTAATAAGAACTGGTATAAGATGGAGGCAATTAGCCATCTATCCAGAAAACTAGCAAGCCTAAGCAGTGATGGGTACGTGCCTGATGAAGCCAGAGGGTGTCAAATTTCAGCAAAGGGATTATGACGCTTTTATAAAGAGAAAGGCTTCAGTTTAAAATATAAATAAGAGATGAGAAACTGATTTAGAAATTATATCATAACTATTATAAAGGTGCACTGTAAGACAGCAAGTTTCAGTAACTAATAAGGAACAAAAGGCAGGCAGAATGGTAAAATGTTCAACACTGGTCATGGTTGGAAGTCAGAAATAACCCTGGAGTAGAGAAGGGCAATTCACTAGAGCTTGATGACAGCCTGCGGGAATACAGAACTTCCTTGGGTCTAATTTTATGCCTATCAATAAACTTCTAATACATAATGTGTTCTCCTAATTAAGGAATGGCAGAAAGGTTTTATTTGAATGCCAAATCCAACCAATTTGGTATCAGATTTTGAAGATCTGCGTGGAGTATTATCAGTTATTGAACTGTATCCCCATCCCAGGTGGGCTAGAGAGGAAAGAAGATAGAGACCTGCTATGTTATCTGTCAGCGATCCTAGTGCTGACAGCCCAACAAGAGTCTTGGAAAAATGTCCAGACCTATTCACATATTAAAAATATCCCACACTATACATTGAAAAATAAACTCTGATTTTATAATCACACACCTTGAGTTTGATAAGAAGGAATCAGTTCCTCACAACTTGATCACTCCTGAGTGAACTGAAGAATGGTTTCTAAAACTGCAAGCCTGCGATGTAAGCCCTGCACCAGACCCGTGATACCTTTCTTGGTGCAGACATCATGAAATGTTCAGCCAGCTTCTGTCTCTCACTCTGAACTGCAACAACTTTACATCACAAAAGACAATGTGGCTCTACATAAACAATGCACCTTTGTGGTTCAAGGTGCTGGGATGAAAGCAAGTGCAAACACTTTAGCTTGGGTTGAATGCATCTTCCTCCACTTCCTCCCATGCCTTTCTGCACATACCTTTTTCAACCAACCTGAACGCCGCACGCTGCTGTGCATACACCCTGTGCTGCGCTGCCTCCCTGCCTTCGTTCACATTTCCCCCGTAACTCAAAATGCACTTCCTTCATCTCTGCCTGTGAAAATGCAAGTTATTCTGGTTCTTCTTAAGTCATACCTTCTCCACAGGAGGGGTCTCCCATGCTCCTTACACTGTCTCCTACAGCACTTTTATCTGCAACTTTAGGACAGACCATAACAGATTTTGCTTTGTACTACAAGTCAGTATGCTTGTCTCATCTTCCCTAGATTATGAGAAACTTGAAGAAAGGGACTATATGTGGTTTACCTCTGTGATTCCTACTGTGTTTAGCACCCACTGGCTGCTTAATGAATATTTACTGCATTTCATATATGCAGCCTATGAGTTAAAAAAATGCAAGATAAAATTCACTTATGAGACTTCAACTCATACATCAGTCTTTGGATCCTGTGGTCAGTAAACAGATTTGAAGATAGTATATTACTAGTCACATAAGAAAGAATGATTAAAAAACAACACAGTCTCAGCAAAACAAAACCGCCAGTGTCTTTCTAGGAAATAGTTATGACGTCACTGCTGCTCACGTTCTCTCTCAAACCTCACAATTTAAACCCTCTCTCATTACACAACAGAATGCTACTTCACGACACTCAGCGGCTATGACTCCTTACTTGAACGGGTGCTTCATCACGCCCTTACGGACCTCCTTAGGCTACAGGACAGCCCTATTTCTGGCATAGGCAGCTGCTGTCACCTGTCTACTGCCTGCAGCCAGTTCCCTGAGCACAAGCCCTGAGAGCACTGCTTCAGTGTCAGCAGAAGGGCTCTGCTCTGGACGGAGCTGCTGCAGATGCTGTTTTGTCCCCAGGGTGGCTGAGAGTGGCAGTCAGGGGCCACCAAGGATACCTGAACGCAGACACCAACAGGAGCTGTAGGTTTTCCAAAGCCCTCCAGGGTCCTGGGAGGCGGGGGAAGGGGGTCACTGTAGGGGGTTTCTGGTAGTTTATTGTCACTACTATGACCCCTTAACCACAGGAAAACATAGCAGAATTCTGTATAGCCTCTGGGAGGCTCCAAATTTGGAGTCTTCCATGATCTTCAACATTGGTGAGTAGAAGAATATGAAACCCCAAGTGTACGCTTAGAACTAGCTCTTACACCAACAATTGATGTGGTGAGTTCCCAGGACTCCTTCCTTAACAGCAAGTAACGGAAGAAATACAACACTGTGTAAGGGAAAGAAACCCAGTGGGTGAGAAGGGAGGTGGATTTGAATGAGGAAAAAAGGATATAATAATAACACTTATTAAATAATATTACTATTTAATATTTATTATTATTGCAATGGGGTGGTTTAAGTATTGCTAAAAAACATTATTTGCATGACTGAATTATAAGTTTTCAGTATTGATCTCACTTAACCCTAGAGCTGGAAAATTTCCAAGTTCATGTGAGTGAAAAGGTAAGGTATCAGTGCAGCCGCGTGTTTTTCACTAAGTAAGTTAACTGAGGCTACAGCGCAGAGGATAAAGCTATGCCCGTTAGAATTAATATATGCCCTCTTGAAGAATTTCCTTTCTCTGGAATTCACCATTCTAGTACAGATAAATATATCAACAACACATCAACATAGTAAAGGCCTCTTCTGAAAACAAAAGTACATCACATAAAATCATACCAAACTATATATCTAATTTTTAAGAATAGTAAATAATTAAGTCAATCTTCAGAAAATAAAAAAACTAACCAAAATACCTGTTTTTATACCACCAACAAAATACGGGAAGTTGAAAAAGAAAATCTACTAACCTCAGACGTTGCTATTTCGGTGAAGGTGTTCAACGCCTGCTCAACATTAGACTTCTGTTTGGTAGCCATTAGGCAATAGTTTTCCATTATGCGAAGCTGTACGTGGCCCTGAATAGTCTGCGGTTTCAGTTCTTTAAGGAGCTTTTCTGCTGTTCTCACTGCTAACTGCACAGACTCTTGCTTTTCGGTTGAATTACTGTACAGAATTAAAAGTAAATCTCCTATGTCTATTACTCACGAAGTAAAATTCACTGAAATTAGAGTAAGCTCTAGGGTACACTGGCATCTTTTTTTCTCACCAGTTTAAAAGTCATCCTATTGGAGAATGTCACTCATTCTTTCCTAATACAAGATAAGGCACAGGTATATTTTTAAAAACAAAACTAATATAGCTTCAATAAAACACCATTAAACATTCACTTTAGACTGAAAACAAAAATTGGGTCATATCCGCATGTGCTAAGTAGGTTCATTTCAGCTAAAACCAGAATTCAGGATAAGTAGAATCATATGATTTTCAAGTAGCGTATCTACTTGAAAGAAAGGGAGATTATATAATACTGTAAATCAACTACACTCCAATTTAAAAAAAAATTTTTTTAAAGAGGAGAAAGCAGAAAGTAACCTTGTTAAAGCACTTACTGTGTGCTATGCATTGTATTATTTCATTCAATCTATGCTGAATCCGTTTTATATATGAGAAAACTGAGGCTCCAACAGATAAATTAATTTGCCAAAGGTCACAGAGCTAACAAATGTTAAACTTGGGATTTGAATTTAAGTTTGCCAGACATACAGTGTACTTAATTTTCTTTACCCAGTTGCCTATCAGAGTCTCAGGAAAGAAATTCTGTATTTGCCAAAAGGCTGTAAATTTTAAGTGCAGTAACAATTTGAATGTGTAACAGCAACTTTCTTATGTTTTTATGTACACACCAACATCTAGATATAACATAAACAAATCAATTAATGAAAGCAAATTAAATTCTCAAAGCCTAATCACTAAAGCCACTGGTCTCAGGCTTCTATCTTCTCTAAAACATTTTCCACTATTGGTAACCTTCTTCCAAGTCCTCCTCCTTTTGCTTCTGTAATGTCAACAGTTTGGCTTCTCTTTTCACCAAAGTGATTACCCTTTCCCAACCTCCCTCCCTCCTTTGATCCCCTCAAATGTCAGCACACCCAAAATTTTGTTCTCAGACTTGTTACTGCCTTCTACTCGAGGCCATTCCTAGGTTTCCAACTATCCACTCTGAACACCTGTCTCCCAAATCTGTATCTCCAGCTGTGACCTCCCTTCTTGAGTTCCAGTTTGGCATTTTCAACTACTTGCTGAGGATTTCCACAGGAAGAGCTTATAGCTGCAAAAGAATATGTTACCTTAACCTTTCTAAAGCAAACAAAAAATAAAGATGCCTCTCCCCTGCTCTAAATCTTTCAATGGCCTCTGTAACCCAAGGTAGGCAGCACTCAGCCTGAATCTTGCCTCCACCACTTTCTAGCTCTATCACATTAGACAGATTAACTCTGGGCTTATTTATTCCCAATAACAATATTGTAAAATAAGACAATGCATATAAACTGTACAGTATGGAGCTGGCAGATAGCTAGTACCATTTGTTAAGGAGTTGTTATTATGTGGACAATTTCTGCCAAGTAGTCACACTCTATAGTTCACCCTATCTCCCAGAGTAATTAGGGGAATGTCTTCAGTAACATGTCTGTTCTGATTCAGGAAACCTAAAAGCATTTCATGCTTATTTCAGAGAACAGTTATTCCAGCTTTGATGTATTCACTGAACTTTCATTAGTGCTATCTTGGAATTTAGTTCTCCTTTATAGAATATCTTTGCTTATTATCCCCAAAGTATTTAAAAAAAAAAAAGTAACTTGCCAAATACTACTCACCCCAGGTCTCCATCCAGATTTTCAAATACTTCACCTCCAATAGTTTCATTGTCTGGATTCAAGCAGATTTCTATCATATTATAAAGGGCATTTTGGCCCCAGTCACTGTCTTTCCGAGCTTTATTAAAATGTCGAAGAGCATCATTTGGTTCTCCAGTATACCTTGTTAGGTGTTCAAAAACAGATTACTTTATTTCAATTAGTGACTACAAACTTCAAGTCGCTTATAATTTATTTGGCAAATAAAACTATTACCATATTTTAAAATGTAGAAAATTTTTAATTCAAAGAAAAGCACATTTATTTTACTCTAGTCACAATGAGGGAAAAAACCTAGTATGTAGAATTTATTTGTCAATAAATTTACCAGAGATATAGTCCTTTACAGTACTGAAATCCTGGCTCCAGTTTTGCTCTGGAGTTACGCTTCTCAGCCATTAAGAAAAATCTTGGGACATCCTCAAGTTTTCCACATCTTCTTAGGAAATCAATTAAACGAGATAATGTCATATAATTATCTAGAAACAAAGAACATTTCAGTTATGGACAACATTTTATATCTTCTGTTTTGATGGTTATAATCCTCCTTCCTTAAAGTATAGTTTGCTTCAAAGGAAGTACAATCTAAATATAAGTGAGGGGGTGCTTTACAGGTTTTAAGTCCCTAGAGAGATTGTATGGACAATGGATGATTCATGAAATGATAAAGGTTGGGTTGTTCTGGTCACAGTGTGAGAAGGTTCAACATGGGCAAATCTATAAAGATGTACATTTTTTGTGACTTACTTTTCAATTATTATTTCTAGGACCAAACCCTTCTAGAAACAGCCTCTGCAGAATCTAAACTCTTAACTGTAAAATTCAGGAGGCTCAATTTGATTGCAAGGGCCAAGTCTATGTCTGAGCTCTACCTTCTACTTACTGCAGCTAGGAAGAGCAGAACAGGACATCCTGATGGTCATATTTAAGCTGGGCAATTAGGGATTTTACTCCAGACCTGCCTTACTGTGTATATGTACCTAACACACTAAACACCAGCTCACCATACTAGAACTGTAACTTATTAGTCCTAGTATTTTAATCCTATTTTATCTTCTTCTAAGGAGAAATAATTTAGTTATTTGGTCTCAGGTGTAATTTCCTTGCAGGTTCCTTGAAAGGCTTTTTCCCCCAATTCTGTTCAGTTCTTTCCCATCACTAAGATACTAAATTTTGAGAATCATTTAATACATACCTTTTAAGATTATAAAAATAATGTATGGGCACTTTAGAAAATTTGGAAAAATACAGAAAAACAAAGGAGAAAAAAAAATTACTCATATTCCCCCACAAGCTAGAGATGACCACATTTTGGTATGTTTCCTTTCATATATTTATGAGTGAAAATCAATCTATAAATATTTAAATGTAAACAAAGAAATACATTGCTTACATATATACAAAGTTGCAGTCACACTTGGGGTTCTGATTTTTATTCAACATTATAAAGTTAACATTCCCCAATTGTCATTAAATGATCTTCAAAAATATTTTAGTGACTGCACAATAGTCTACTATCTTGATGGCTCACTTTCGTTCTTCTCTTTAGTATTTTTAGGTGTTTAGACTCACAAGTTACACAGGACTCATAGTAGGGGATTTGTAAAAACCCTTATTTATATAAGCTATCCTTATCACTTCGATAGGATAAACTCCTACACTTAAAACACACACACACACACACACACACAAACTTTTAAAAGCAATTTATCGTTAATTCTATTTTCCAAGAAAAGACATCATATAATACCACAGTTCTGCTTCTGGATATATGTATATATCCCTCAAGAACTAAAAGCAGGGACTCAGTCAAATATTTGTACACCAGTGTTCGCAGCAGCAGCATTCACAGTAACCAAAACTAGTGGAAACAAGACAGTTAATGAAAGTACTATGTATATCATCTTAAAGGGAAAAAGGACAGATAGAGTCTAGAGGCTAAGGCAGAAGCCATGACAGGAAAAAAAAACAAACTTAGGCTCAAAGAAAGTAAGAGTAAGGTCTGGGCAAATCAGTTGGAAGGATGGCCCACACTCTGGACTCAGATTAAGCAGAAGAGGTAAGAAGTTAATTAACAGCACCCTTTCAAATAACACCAGAATATAAGCTGGAGCAGACAGGACAGGAAACAAGAACATGGCCCGAGAAAGTCCAAAGGTGGAAGAAAATTTTAAAAGATAATAAAAATAAATTCAAATGTTGGTATCACCACAGAAAGAAAGGATTTTTTTTCTTTAAAATATTCCTAGTTAAGGCAAAGATTGAAAGTATAAAGCACAGTTCTCTAAATTCACACTTTTAACAATTAAAAGCATCCATAAATACAAGTAGAGTCTTCCTGGTTCTCTGTGTTGCCCCACGTGAAGCACAGCCACCCCATCCACGCTGCCTTAACCAAGCAGCTCTGACTGCCCGTGGCGTCATCCTGAGACAGGGCACGAGGGGTCAGGAGACCTGAATGACAGCTCGAGGACTGCCTCTGAGATCTCAACTATTTGAGCAACACATAGAAGTAACATACATACCTGTTCCACCTTCCTTCCGCTTCTCCCTTTCCCCCACCTCCCTCCCTTCTTCCTTTTCCCCTCCCATTCTTCTTTCCATCCAATATTTACTGAGCACCAACTCGGCCAGATACTATTCTCGATCTTGATAGCAATGAAGACATGGTTCCTAGCCACCTGATGCCATTACCTATGATTTACAATTTTTGTTTTGCTTTGTTTTACAAAGGTGATATAAAACAAAAAACCAAGAGCAGGACACGCGGATGGAGAGCAGTGAGGTGTTACTGCTATAGGATGGCTGGGGAAGGGTGCTCTTAGGAAGAGGCAGCACTGGAGCAGAGTCCTGGGTGGAACAAAGCAGAACATGTTCCAGGAAGAGGGAACAGCGTCGGAAAGCCTCAAGACACCACCCTGCCTGGGCTGCCACCTAAATCTAATATCTACTGCCCCCTCTTCACGATCAGAGTTCTGATTTGCTTCTATGTGGCACTGTGTTCAACTAGATTACATTTCCCACCCTCTTTTGCAGCCATGGAGGTGTTTCTAGAAAATTTTTTAAAAGAAAAAGGGAAGACTCACTGGGAAGGTATGCCCTCTGGCCCACCTCCACCCTGACCTGGCCCGTCCAGGCCTGGGAACATCAATGCCTCATGCTGCAGTGGGCATCTTGAACGTGATACTTGGAGTGGACATTTGGCTAGTGATGGCAGAAAAAAGAAGGACTTAAGACTCCCTAATGATACTGTGAAAACTCTAGGCCATCCAGGCATAATCTACTTTTAATCTATTTATTTTGGTGGGGAGGTAATTAGGTTTATTCATTTTAATGGAGGTACTGGGGATTGAACCCAGTACTTTGTGCATGATAAGCACGCATTCTACCACTGAGCTATACCCTCCCTCCATAATCTACTTTTAAATTTCTTTTACATAAGAGAAAAATAAAAGCCAAAGTTACTTAGGCCACTAGAATTTGTGGGCTGTGGGGGAGGTCTCTGCTACTTTCAGCTCAAAACGTGTCTAAATCATCTGAAGGCAAGGAGTAGAAACAGACGAGCTATGGGAATGCTGCAGTCATACGTGTGAG